GGATTTGTTGATGTACACACAAGGAAGTTCCACTTTGTGTAATGATGCATAAATGATGCATTGATTATGTTTGCATTATGAATAAAAGGTGTTGGAAGAATTGTTCTCTGATTGAATAACATATAGCCATGATTCACAGCAGGAGTCAGATGGTAAATATTTTCAGCTTTGCCAGCCGCGTGATCTCTGTTGCTGCAACAGACCTCATGTAACAATAAAGCCATGGGTAGCGTATAAACGATCACTCCAATAAGCCTTTATGGTTACGAAAGTTCAATTTTCCTGTAATTTTCATGTATCATGAAATGTTATCTTTTTGATGCTGCCACCATTAAAATAAATATCACTCTAAACTTACAAATTGTTCAGACATAGGTGATAGCTAGATTTGATCCAGTAAGTCAGTTGCAATATGCCAGTTCTAAATTTATACAATTACAATATGGAAAATATTCATGATATATTGAATTAAACAAAAAACCAAACAGATGGCAACATAGTATGTACAGTGAAGTATGTACAGTGAAATTCCCGAGCATGTTAAAAAAAAAAAAAAAAGCAGCTATCAGCAAGGTAACACTGGAAGAAGAGATATCAAAATATTTGGTTCCTTGGTTAGATTATGGATGCATTTAATTTTACATGTGTTCATTTGCATGTATTGGATGTGTACTCTGAGTGTTTATTATGTTGTTTCTAAAAATAAATATTTTCATCTGAGAAAAAAGTTATTTAACAAGTGACAGAAAATCTGTACATTTTCACTAAAATCTGAATATTTATTGTGAATTAATGTGCTACAACCTGTTTTGCTTACTCTCTGTCCACTTCACTTTTAGCCAACAAGTCCCAAATTTGGAAAAGCTGACTCCTATGAAAAGCTGGAGAAATTAGGGGAAGGATCTTATGCTACAGTTTACAAAGGGAAAAGCAAGTAAGTTCATTATTTTTTAATATGTAAAATGTGTCTGCTCTCTTGATAGAAACTACCAAAGTGTTTGATAGATTCCAAAGTAGCCTTTTCACGTAGTTTTATAAACAATTGTAAAAACCAGTGGAATCCTTTATCTTGCTAACAGAATTTCTCAAAATTGCCCAGTTTATCTTCCTGTTGAACTGCTCCCCAGCTTTGTTTTCTTCTGGGTGGGGCTGGACCCCTATCGTGACAGTTCATGTCCAGGTGAGTGATGTATTTCCTCATAGATGTTGAGTGTTAAACATAACAAAAGTGATTTGATAAAAACCAAATATAAATGTTCTTGATGTTTTAAATTGAACTTTTACTCCCACATTTCAGAAGTCACTTGGTTTAAAGAAAAAAATCTGTGAATTTTTCTCTCTACCTGCCATCTTTGGCATCATCTGCATCTATTTCCACAGAGCAGCAACTCTTTTCTTCCTTGTTTTTCGCTTTCCCATTGCTGTTCTGAGGTCAGGACACAGATTTGGATTTCTTAAAATCTCACTGCCATATGTTTCTGATGGGTGTTGTCCTTCTCCCTTAGGAAGGGCAGAGATCCATATTTATTGGTGTGCAGTTTGTGGAGAATGCAGTGCTATTTTTGAAGTAACTACAGGAAACATAGCCTTAATAACTTTACCAAGATGTTGAAAAATAATTTTATAAGCCATCTGTGTTATATCTTTCAATAATCTTTACAGAAGATATGACTTTCTAACCAAAATAAATAAAAAAGAAACAGAAGAAAATTCTATGGAGGATCCATGCGAACACATAATCAGAGATATTATGCTGATTTGTATAATCGGATCATTTTGGGAGCAGAGTCTTAGGTTTTTCTTCATGAGTTTTAACTTTAGAAAATAAAGAAACGTTTCTTCTAAACTATTTTTTTGTGGAAAAATATGTAGGTAAATAAATACAGAAATGCTGTAAGTGAAAAATAATAGTATTAATTTTGAAGGCTGTTAGCATATTTTTTATTTAAATGAAAAAATCAATATTATGGGGAATAGAAAACTAAAGAAATCTCAGAGGACTGTTAATGACTTCACCAAATTGGGATTTATAGACTGTCAGAGTAATGCTCTCAATGGTTGAGCTAGTTTTATCAGAGGCCAGGTCCCATGTTTGTATATACTGTCCTACAGGAAAATTGTAGTATTCTAGTGCCTAAAACATACTCATGAACTTAAGGTTAATAATAGGCTGAATGTCTTTTGTTAAACAACCACTTTGTTTAAAGTGCAATAATATCTTCCTTTGCCTTGTCTAGTCCTCACGCTACCCTAGACATGAGTTATGGTATTGTCATTTCCATGTGACCACAGCATCATGGTTCATACAGAGGTCATGTGTCCATGGTCGCACAGTTAGTACTAGAGCTTATTTCAGTTGTGTCTGTCTGGCTTGAGGTCATTTCCTCCCAACTGCTACAACCTATATTGCCTGTGTATAGTGGAAAGCCTTGGAAAGATTTGGTCCTTGGTGGCTGCTGCATGAGGTTCTTCCGTATGCTCTGAATTGTTTCAGTTGTGACTCAGACAGAAGCAGATACACTCCTTCACTAGGAAGAAACAGACCAAGCCTTTGGTACCTTCTGTCCACAAAATACGGCATTGGCTGATATGCAAATATAAGTTCATAACACCATGAAACCTTTAACTCATGGATTTATATTGGAATCTTAGAAATGAGAAAGTTTCCATCTGGTCTACTGGATAAAAGAAGACTTAAAACTGCCTGTAAACATTGAAAAAGCTAGTTTTGGACAATTGATAGTTTTCACTCCAACAGCTCTACATTTGTCTCA